AAAAAAATTTATAATAATTGCTGCAAGTTTTTAGTCAGCAGCTTCACAATTGCTTCTTGAAACAGTTGCAGCTGCCCCAAACTAAATCGGGCTCACCACCCTCGGCTTGAGCTTGAGCTTAATTGATTAATTGCTCGAGCTTGAGCTTGAGTATACAAGTTGTAGTTGGCTCACGAGTTGAATTATTTAATATAAAAGGGGTAAAATAATTTTAATTTAAGCTGGTATTATAATAAAATGATAAATAAAATGAACTATTACAAGATAAATAATATGAAATCACTTAATATAAAATAAAAAATATATTGTAAATAATTTTGATAATTTAAATATAAAATCTTTAAATTTGATATTTTTTAGTATATTTTATATTAATATTTTTTAAATTAGTCGGCTCACTACCTAACGAGTCGAGTCAAGGCTATCTTGAGCTTGGCTTGTTAGATCATCAAGCTAGTTTCACGAGACCCTTATAGAGTCAACATCAAGCTGACTCATGAGTCGACTTGGCTAACTTACACCCCTATTTGGGGATGCTCATAGGCAAGCATTTCAAGTTTACACCAAGTCGCCAGTGAGTTTAATTTATGTTCAATTCCTGATTCTTTTTTTAGTTATTGGTGTATGATTAAAAACGTTTAATTTATCGTGATCTCTTCTTATTTTAGCGTTTTATTTTGTCAAATGATTTATTTTGTGCTCATCTATGAGACATTCTGGCATAATTTTGTTGTATCCCCGTGTAAGGGACATTTAATATGGTGTCAAGTCCACCCACCATGTCAAAAAAGTTGTGTATGATTAGAGTTAAGGTACCGCAACCCAGGGATATTTTTACCACCATGTCAAAAAAAAGACATATATGGGTCTTCAAACAGCTGCATAAAAAAAGTATAACATTTTTCCCGCCTCCTTAAATACTAGTCATGAGGGCACTTTGAGAGTTTCACACAAACACAAAATTTTCCACCTTCTTAAATTCTAGTCGCACTGGTACTGATTTTCCCGGAAACACACACAAAATATTCAGTTCATATTATACATGTGGGTATGTGTGTCGACGATTATATGAGGCAATACAAAATATATATATTCATGTTTTATAAAATCATATTATTACTTATTTCTTTCTTTTTTTCTTCTTTTGAAACCTTTACAGGGATGGGCAGGG